ACAATATTATTATAATATTGTATTTTTTGATTAGAATATTTTTTGACCCCCCGCAGATTGCTATCAAATTTCAACTTCTAAGTTACGTTAAATGCTAAAAATTCCTCAATTATTAATTAAATTATGCTATCATTTAATTAATTTTGAATTTGCATGAACATTTTTGAGGGATAAAAGAAAAGTTATCTTTTTGGTTATAATTTTAAAAAAAAATTACTTTACATCAGTGTAGTGTTTTTTTTTTCTTTCCGGAAAAATCATTAGAAAGTTTCTCAAACAAATATCATTTGACATCTTCCGTTATATTTGTGAATTCGCGAAAAATTAAAAATGAAAATCTGTTTCAGTTATCTTTCTCTGATGCGACAACGGTGATAGATAGTGATATCAGGATGATAAAATTATGTTTTATTTGTGGGTTATACTAAACTGGTACTTTTACGAGACAAACTGGGTTGTTGCCAATATTATATGCTTGACCTGGTTTCTCCATTCTTTTAAAAATACTTCTAATTTTGAAGTACAAATTGTGCTTTTCCAGTAATTACTGAATTTTTTTAAACCGGTACCTGCTAAGAATAAATTTTGTTTTTATTCATCTCTTTCCATAAATTGATTTTTTCTTAAGATTGAATCTTTTTTTTTATTCTTTTGCTTTTGATATGACAAATACGAGGAAAGGCAGAAAATTTTTTCTGTTGTAAAAAAAAGTGATTAGCTTTTGCATTCGGTTCATATGAAATTAGCTATAAATAAATTACATTTGATTGTGTAAATATAATTAAGCTATAATTTTAATTACAACCATCTATTTCAATTAATTGGAATTTATTGTTATTTTTTATGCGATTTATTAAAAATAACAAAAAATAGTATGTTAATGAATGAAGTAGCAAATAATAGGAAATATTGTTAAATCAAACAAACGAGTAATAAAATAACTTAAGAATAAGAAATGAATGATATGACTAATAAATAATTGAATAACGATCAAATAATTAATTTACTGAGAAAAAGTTATTTCTTTCTGATTACTTTTAAAAGCAAATGATATGCAAAAAAAGTGGATGATTTTTTTTTTTTTTTTTTAATATCTTTTCTACTAAATCTATTTCCTTTTTTTTCTAGCCGGAAATTGCAGTAAATGTAGTTAGTCCTCATTGATCTTTGCGAAATGATTCCTTCTCGACAAAGGCACTTCACGTAGCGTGGCATAAGAGGACAACACTTATGTGGAAAAGCCTTGAGAAAAGTTCCAGAGTTCTTTATGAGGCAAAATATTACAGTGTCATATTTCGAATCTTTTCCTGATGAAATTTATTTATAATTTTATGGAGTCATTTCGAGGATTATCCTTTAATTATTCCATCAACTAATTGTTCTTCATTTTTGTATTTATTTTTTTACAAATCAATCTATGTACATATTTTATTCATTTAATTTAGAAATTTTATATTTCGATATATTTTATAACTCTTTTCACTTTATACCTAAATTAAACTGTCCATTATTTGGGCATATGTATCATTTCTAAGAAGTTAAACTTAATCGTTATGTATGGTACGTTTCCTTTGGTACTTAAAATGCTGCATTAAATGATATGATTCAAAATAGGAATTGGAGTATTTAAAAGAAATTTTTTTCAATGAGTTTAAATATGATTATGATCATGAAAGATTAAATGACATTGAACAGACAAATGTTGTATCTTGAATTATTGCTAAATAATATTTATTATTCTTAAATTTATCATTTACTTAAGGTCGTCCCATCTCTAATTAACAGGATCATTATTTTGTCATAAAATTATTTTCTAACATTTTTAACTCCTTCCTTTTCATGTCGCAATTAGCACTCAAACAGTTGAAATTAAAATGCTCACAATTAAACGATCATTATTTAAATTCTTTAAAATCTTATCAACATTAATATTTATTGTTGCATTTTTGCTGCTATCACAATTATACATTTATGATATTTTATATCATTATTCTTTTTACTACGTTACTCTTTCTTTTTTTTTAATAGAAATTTTTAATATTTAGCAATACAACATTAAATGCGGAAACGATAATGGAACATCGAACATTGAAACAACATGACGATAATGGTGGTCATCGAACAGTTAAAAATCTCGCTGCACATTTTCAAAATTTGAAAAATATTCAAACAGCTGCTCAAACTGTTGAAAGTATGTTTGCAAAATGTAAATATATTTTTCCTAAGAAAGAAAAATAAAGGAAGAAAAAATTTCTTGTCTTTTTATGGGCCAAAAATTTCTTCCATTTAGCCGACATTTCAGGTGAGAAATTTGATGAAAATTTTCTCCCAGTTATTGTTAATTTCCACATTGACAAGATGTATGATACCAATTAAAAGTGTTGAATAATTTAAAAGATTTGAAAAAGTTTCAGGTTACGATAATGTAAGCAACAATTTACCACCACCGGTTCGAATTACACCATATTCAGGTGTTAAACCAAAGGTTTGCATGGCATTTCTATAATTTTGCATGTATTTTTGAAAGTTTTAAATTTATAAAATTAAAACATTTTTGGATGGAAATTTGAATGAAATAAGTTAGCGTTCAGTCACAAATAATTTCAATTATCATTTTTCTCGAATTCTTCTTCCCAAATACTTGGAATGAATTATCAATTTTGATATGATTTAATTTTCAACATTTATTGTAACTATAAAGTTTAATTGATAACTTCTTTGGTTTTAAAATCTAAATTTTAATTCGAATTAAATATTAATTACAGTTAAAATTCTCAGAAATATTTGAACTATACCCGTATATTATTCACTTCAAAATTGACCTTGAAATTGCTTCTGATGAGGCATTAACGGGAATAGCGTCGCAAGGAAGAAGGCATTTCGACAAATTCCTTTCATCGTTCATTTCGCTCCTTCATTATCATTTCCTTCTCCTTCTACACGCATACATCTCTTTCCTCCTCCAAACGAACATGACAAAAAAGAAATTTTTCATTTCATTCCTCCAAACAGTAAATTTCATATCAAGATTTTATCAATTTCTAGCTATGAAAAAGAAAAAAAAAGTTTTTCACTTTTTTTCGAAATTACTCCATTTCATTCCTGTTCTTCTCATTAATCTTTTTACCTTTACATATATATCACAAAGTTGACAATATTAGTTAAGTCATAACAGATAGTATTTCGTCCATAGCAGTTTTAAGCAAATTGAAAAATTGAAAACAGAATCATACGTTAGTTGGCTAAACTTAAAGTCTATTAAATAGCAGATATAAATGCTTTATGCAAAATTTTACACTGTTCCTCAAATCGTTCAAATCCATTTAATGATCAAGACAGTTATTGTTCAATAATTGACAGTAAATTTGAACTTTAAACACAATCTTTATGACAACTAATAAGCACCCTTAAATCTACAAAAATATTAGAAAGAAATGACGATAACAATAGTTTCATTGTTCGTCTTGAATTGAATGAAACGCTATAATACTGTCATTCTTCTTCGATGGATAATTGGCAATACTGTACAGAGGTCAATAAACTGCTTCTACGATGTCTTCTAATCTTTGCAAATCTTTTTGCAGAAGACAGATAGACATCATTTAGAAGCTTATAAAATGAAGAATGGAATTACATTTGAAGGGATAAAATGTAACTAAAGATTGAGATAATGCAATGATTGATAACAAATCAATATGTTATGAAAATCTCTCATCCTTAAGTTTAAACATAAATATTATTTGAATTGGATTTTGAATATTTTGATGGAAAGCATTTTGGATCAGTAATTTCTTCTAACAATTTCAATTGAATTGAATGGATGATAGTGAAATTGAAATATTTATTTTCATTAATATATTTATTCAACATAAATAATTATTGTTTATCATTTGTTTTTACTTATTTATTCAGTGTTGTTTTAATTGATTGCATTCAAGTTTGTTGACAGTTCTTACACATTAATATTTATTTTTCACATTTACTAATTTTCAGGGCATGGATATTATTAAGCCAGTAGCATTTCGGCCATATGTTTCACGTAAATCGGATAAACGACAAACAGTTATCTCATCATCGTTCTCTTTTTACAATAGCAACAAGAAGAATGATTTTCTAACAAAACGATTATCAAAGTAAGTTTGAAAAATATTTTCAAGTTTCAGAAATAACTATTTTACAGGTATCATTGTTAATATTTGCAGAAAGCAAATACGATTATTTTAGTATTATGAAAATTTTGTAAAGATTAATGAATTCTTCGTATGGTATGTATTATATGATGTTTACTTGTGATCCATTCATTTTTTTTTTTTTTTTAACATCAGATCTAAAAAATTCCAATCATTCCTTTTAATAATTGATTTTCTCATTCTTTCATGTATTTTTTTCAGTCTTTAAATTCATTCATTCCCAATTTATCATTATAGTTTTTACAATGAGTTTCATTTCATGATAATAATAGTGATAATGATAATGATAATGATGATGAGTGGATTAAATATTCCCATTTCCATTTATTGAATCTTATTATTACAGCAGTGATGAATTGAAACGATCTTCACAACTTTCGAAGGACACCGTATCAAATCCATCTGTACCACCACCAACAGCAGTTAATGGTGGCAGCAGACCGCGAGCCATCTATCAACCATCCACCAGGTTTGATTGATTATAAGGAAGCATTTGACCCCACTCTGATGTCGTTCATGTCATGTCATTCTGTTAAAGATTTGTTTATCATTTGATAGCATATGTTTATGGAAAGAAAGCATTCTAATTAACATAATAATGTAATTCTCAATTTAATGAGTTTAATAAAATGAAAAAGAATATTAGAAAAAAAAAACAACAAATTGCACATAATTATCATCTAAGAAATGAAGATTTTAATTGGAAATTATCGATCGATATGGATTTTAAAATATTGAAATGAATCAAACTTGAAATTTTTTCTCATTTAACAATTACAGTTTCGAATTAGCATCAGCAATGATGGCACACAGAAAATCAGATAAATTTGAGGCTGAAGAGAATGATTATGATGTTGTGCCAGAATATATTGAACGCGACAAATTCTACATTGATGGTTAATTTGCCGATTTTTGCTTCTTCAATTTAGAAATGACTTTTAATAATTTTAGTAGATCAGCTTAGGATTATAGATGGATCAAATTGATTGCAATATGGATTGATTAGAATTAAACTTAAGATAGACTGGAAGCAGGTTTATTAAATAAAAAATCCAGTTTTTCGTTTTTTATAACTTTTAAAATACTTCCGAAATTATGAAAATCACATCATTACTATTTCTGCTGTATGATCTCTGATATTTGTTGTTTTTGCCGAATAGAAATACAATGAAATTGTTTATCTTTTATTATTTATTTCCTTTTTCCTGATCCGTTTAAGTTTTTTCTAGATTGTTTTTTTTTTATATCTTTAAATTATTTGTTTGATTTTTTTTTTTGTACTTTGGTTTAGAATCGATAGAAAACTATAAAATAGTAATTTGATGAACTCATTTGAACTCTCTTTACTCATCTCACCTTTCTGCTCTTGGTTTTTATACCAGACAGTGAAAATAAGATTCCTTTACAAACGATGATACTTAAAATTAAAATTAAGATCTTGATGGTTTTTTTTTTCCTTTCAAAACTAATTTAATTAAATAAAAGGTACACCTAACATTAAGCATTAACAATTAGTTACAGTTGAAAATTGAAATTTTGAATTCGATTATTTCATATTTTTGATATGTAAATTTAGAATTCAAAATCTACATGCTTTTTTCTTAAAAAATTTTTTTCACTAATTGTTTTAAAATCTAAAAAAAAAAGACATGCAATAGATTCGACAATCAATGAGAACTACTCTGTTACACATTCGATACCTTACTGTCGCAATCCATCCTCCGAGACATTTCCTGTCGTAGCAACGATACAAAATAACAATGCTAACATTGGTCGTGATAAAATACAACAGCAACAGCAACAGAACGGTAATGCAGCAATGAGCGTAGTAGCTGGAATTTCATCATTAAATCTTGTCAAGGTCTCTCTTCACATTACTACTTTTTAAAGAAAGAAAAAAAAAATTATTTTTTTTTCCTCACTATATATGTTATCTTAAAAAAAGGGTTTTCTAGAGGATAAGCTATAATCAATTAATAAATAAAAGAAATTAAGCAAATATTTTTAATTTCAATCATATTTTAAAGAACAACTAATCAAATATATCAGTTTAATCATATTTTGAGGAAAAATTGTAGTATTTAAAAAAATTTTTGTAACAATCTTCGAATCTTCTAAAAGTATACAATTTCTATTATTGATATTCATCGTTAAGCTTTTTTTATTGCTCATAATTCTTTTTGTTTTTTTTTTGTTTTTTTTTTTGTTAATATAAATATGATTTAGGAAGAGAAAATTTTCACTCTTGAAAATAATTTTCAACTTTCTTATTTTCTATTTTATTTTTTCAATTTATTTTATTGTAATTTGTTGATCTATGTGAGAAAAAAGCTACGTAGAGTGCAATTGAAAAATTAAAAGCAAAGCAAAAGCATATGCTTAGGTATTAGCAGATGTTAGCATTTATTGCAGAAATCTCCATCTTCACATCAAGTTTATGGTTCCAATACTTCTTCTGGTAGTCGTCATAGCTCAGGAATACACGTTACACCTTCACCAAGCGACTCCGGTATTGTCGATTACGAGGTTTATTGTAACTTTCATCTACAGTTTTTATCTTATTTTTTCATTTTAGTTTATGGAAATATGTAGAGAGAGAGAGAGAGAGAGAGAGAGAGAGAAAGAAAAGAGAGAAAGAAAGAAAGAAATGAACTTAATAAGTTTGTCAAGTGAATAAGCTGCCGGATCATCCATAAACGAGAAATTGCTATATAACTTGTATGATTTGAAAAGGTTTAAAATCAATATTCAAGTTTTGAAATCTAATTTCATTCCTTCAAAACAAAATTTTCGCCGTTTTATAGGCAAAAATTCTAAGAATTCCTCCTAATATTTACAAATTAATGATTTTAAAAATGCATGGGCTGAATGAAAGCTGTAAATTCATCATTCATCAGTGTTATTTTATCTAATGTCATTACCAGCTATCATCCTCTTTGCTTCTTTATTATTCATATCAAGTAAAAACTTTTTCCTTCTTGAATATTGATTAACCCTTTATGATTTGTTAATTTGAATTGAATGTTCTTTTTTGTAAATTATACCGAGTTTACAGTTCAATTCTTTAAAGTTTAAGACAATTTCATCAATTCTATTATTCACTTTTAATTTTATTCAAATTCGTTTTTAAATTTGACAATTACTGCTCTTTTTCTTTGTGAAATTCCATTTTTCGTAGATGTATGTAATTTGGTAAAAATTATCGAATACTTTTGACATAAATTTGATAAGGAGTCGGCATCGGTAGAATTTGCATAGATAGCTGGAATTAATTTGACATAATTAGTCAGTGATGAATATAAATGGATTAATTTACTTTAATATGGAATATTTCTTCAGACAATCATTCGAGATAAAGAGAACGAATTGACAAACGTACGAGCAACAATGGAACAGAATGAAGAAGTTGTTGTGAAAGTTTATCTTGAAAAAGAACGATTTTGGAAAGAGCAACTTGCTGATCTCAAACAAAAGTTGCAGGTCCATTCTTCTTTTTGATATCGATAAATTAATGGCAAATTTTAATTATTGATTTTACTGGAAAAAGGTAAATTAGACTAATGTTTATCATCCAATCATTTATATTCACATCTTAAATAACAAAAGCTTCTTCTATACATTACATTGAATCAATAATTACTTATTACTTTAAACTGAAAATTTAGGCTAGCCAACAAGGAGAAAATGCATTACGGCAACAAATTCAACGATGTAACGAAGAACGAGAACAATTCCGAGTTACAATACAAAATCTTACCAGTGATAAGCAAGGATTGCAACGCAAGGTTATTACTTTTTTTTTCTCTCTCTCTCTCTCTCTCTCTCTCTCTCCTCTTGAAACATATAAGCCTTTTAAATTGTTCTCTAATTAGCTTCAAAAGGAATTTTAAGAAATTAATGAGATTTTAAATAATTTCTGGATGCTAGGAAGGCATATTATATTTAAAATTTATCTTTTCTTTTATTCAATGTTATATAATTAGGTAGGAAATTTAGATAAGCTTAATATCAGAAAAAAAATTTTCGTTTATATTAACCTGTATATATATAATTTTTTTGTAGTGTTTGCAAATAGAACGTGAATTGTTCCAACTACGTGAATGTTTCGATGAACTCATTCGAAATCGTGATGAAATTGTTTGCGGTCCATGTCACAAACGTATTACATGTGATGTTACTGTAGCAAATAACAATAACAGTACCGCTGACAAACGTATGAAACCTCCACTGCCAACACCACGATATTCTAAGGTTTCTCGAATATATATCTTATCATTTTTCAATTCTTTAAAAATACTCTTTAATTTTTGATAAATTTTCAATAAGTTAAAAAGTTGTTACTGATATAAATTCTAATACTTCGCTAATATTAATCATATCTTTTTATTCTTACAAATTTTAAATTAATTTCGAAATAAACTATAAAAATTAAATTTTTGATAATGTTATAATGGTAAATAAATAAATAATATTTAGGAGTCGTCATCAGAACGTGAATTGCGTACTGAAGTGGAAGAGTTAAGAGATGAAGTGTCAACTTTACGTGATACACTGAATGAACAAATCGGTCTCTTTGCTGACGAAAGGAAACGTTGGGAAGAAGAACGAATTAAGGTGATTATTTTAAGCTTTTTTCATTGATATTTTGTGCAGAAAAGTCTCATTGGTAGTTTAGGAATAAAAAAATTTTTTATAAATTACACAATGGAAGTTTGATATTTCATAAAATTTTTTCTTTAAATACTTTTTTTAATGAAAGTAATGATAGCTATGACAAATCTAAGATTTGTCCAGGAAACTTTTATACTTTATATTTCTCATGAACTGTAACAGATTCCTTCCCTTATCTTATTGTTTTCGCCGATGATCTCGATCTATACCTGATTTTAAATAAATGAAAAATTAAAAAACGAGCAATAATTTGTATGATAGTATTGATTTTTTGCGTCAGGATTGTTTTAGCTTTTAAATAAATTTCGCTTTCGTGTGCTACTACAATTAATAATGTTAGGATTAACTAAAGTATAAATTTTGAATTAATATAATTTGTGAAATAATTTTGAAAATGTTAACCTTTTTAAATTTATAGATCTTGAAGTCCAGTAATTCATCAACAAATCGATTAGCACTCTTTTCGACGAATGATTCTACGTCGACTGACATAACTTCTCAGCTATCTAGGGATTTGAAAATTCTAACCGATGGTAAATCATGCATTGTTAGCCATGATCGCCTAATCTGATAAAATTTTAGGTACGAATTTTCCTTCTTTTCATCATCCCGTTATAAATTATTGTAATCTTTATCCTTCTTAATGTGCCATTTATTTGATTGCTTCTCGATATCTTTCAAAAATTTCATTTCTCTTTCACTGAGGAATGATTTTTTTTTTGTTTTTTTTTTTTTAAAGATGCTTTTTTCCAATAAAATAACTCTCTTTGAATTTAAATTTGTGTTCATTTCAAGACTTTCCAGGTAGCCCCAGTTCTTTTTGGCATATCAAATTTATTGAATTCATTGATTTGAAGAAAGAAAAAAGATGCTTTTTATCTGATTTATTGCATTTTTTTTTTCATATTCTATAACTGCCATTTTACATTCCGAGCAAACAATCCCATAATAACCGTAATATTTCGAATACCATTGGATATGATCATCATATTTGAGCCAGAAATTAAAACGACGACTCTGAAGTCGCATACTAAATTTTCTCCATTAAAATTTTCTTAAAAATTTGAAATGAATAGATTAATTGCTAAGAATATTTTATGACGATACAATCTTTTCTAGCGGAAATTATAAACAATTTTGATCGAAATTTTCTAGTAGAAATGATTTGAATAAAATCGTAAAAAGTTTGGATAAAATTTTTTAATGTAAATTATCAAAGACTTGAATAAAATTGTTGAAAAAAAAGTGATAAATTAGTGATTACATGATAACATGCTGGTTCTTTTTCATTGCAATAAAAGTTTTGAAATAATGCGTATATCATTGCTGTAAATTTTCCTGCACACGTAACCAATAGAATCTTGATTTTTATCTGATAATGTGATAACAGTGATTATTTTTCAACTTTTTCCTGTCTAATTGTTTTGAATGATCAATCGATGATTCATTCTAGTGTTTTCTCGGCATTACTATGATCATTTCAATATAAATATTTTTTGCAAACAATTTTTGCGAGAATTCTTTAGTAAAATAGTCGAGCATTTTATGAAATTAAAGCTAGCAAACAAGGAAAGAGCTGAAATGATGCTCATTTATGATGATACCGAAAGATGGCACTTTCGATTAATGATGAGCATTTTGAAGGTGATGATGATTTAAATGAATAAATCCATGATTCACACAGAGAACAGTTTAAAATTACAGAAAATCGTAATAACGATTTGGGGCATGAAATGAGGTTCAGAACTGAAATTCCATCATATTGATAGAAATAATTTCACAATAGGATTTAACGAAAACCAGAATTGTGATTGTGATTGTTGTTAATATGAATGTGAAAGGCCACACAAATTACGATATCACGACATTTACATTTCATATTATTTAAATAATTAATGAGAAGAAAGAATTAAGCAGCGATGGATGGGTATTTTTAGATGCAAATTCAATGGAACATAAACGATGCTTTACGAAATTTCGAAGCTTTTCTTCTTTTTCTTCAGAGTAATTTCTTTTTTAATGTAAAAAATTTGAAATGTTGAAAATGTAACATTTAATGTTTAGCATTTTTGCAAATTCACCAATGAAAACGAATCATTTTTGCTGAGCAACAATTAACGAAATGCTCAGTAAAATGATTCATTTTCATATACTTTAATTATATTGATAACATTTGAAACTAATATAAAATTATCTTGTAGATTTGAATTAAAATTGAATATTTATTTCTAAAATGCTTGTTTAAAATGATGCTTTATTAATTAGCAAATATTCAGATCAAATTATTTTTTCGAATCGATACAGTGGTAGATAAAATGATAGTGAAATGAATGATGGATGAAATGTACGAATTTTTGCTATCAAAGTTTAATTAAAAATATAATAAAAAGCTTCTTCAACAATAAACTAACTGATTGTGTCTTCCGCAATGATTTCAAGTGATGTCCATCGGGGTAGAACAAGTTTTTTCGCCATGTTTTGCTCTCCATATTTCTGTTTCAAGTTCGTCTTATAATTCGTTCGTTCGTTCGTTCTAATCGCTTTCCTAATTATTACGTTTCTTTAAATTCACTCAATTAAATATGAATCGTTACTTTTATCCATTTTCTTTTTTTAACCGAAATAAAGCTTTAATTTTTGATCAAGTACATTTATTCTTACAAAAAGAGAAAACGAAAAACAATTTATTCACATTCAAGTAGCTCTCAATCATTTTTAATCGAAAAATATCAATTTTATTAAATTCTTTACTCATTTAATTTTAAATAGAAATAATTGAGGAGTTGAATAAGATTAGCTTAAATAATTGAACAGCATAGAGTTTTTTTTTTTTTGAAACAAATTATTAATCAAATATTATCAGTTGAATTTCGTTTTTTTTTTTTTCATTGCTAAATTATTCGAATTTTTCTCAAGACATTTTTTTAAAGCAATTTTAACATATTTAATTCTTCCATATAGGAAATTCAATTCAATCACTATAAATTAGCTTCATAAATTACCGTCATAATTAATGTAAGTCAATCTGGTTTGACATCTTGTCTACCATAAATAAGTACAGGAACTAAATGATCATCATCCTATCCTGCTTAATAACCTTTTCCTACGATCTTTTCTTCCTTTTGGACATCTTTTTACAATTCTCCAAAATACGCAAATGTTCGAAAGAAATTTTAAACATGTTATTGAGAGCAATGGCGGCGGACAGCTATCTTCTAATTTTCTCTTATATGTTAGAAAATGAATTATCCATTTTCCAGTTTTTTAGACAAAGGAACTTTGTTTAGGATTTCCTTTTTTTTTCACCAAATTATCATCAGCTTTTTTTCTTCAATTACTTCGCATTCATAAATAATTATATTAACTTAAAATCCGGCCAAAAAAAAAAGAAAAACGAATTAGTGTGAGAAAAAAAAACAATTGAAATTGGAGAAGTTTCAAAAATTGTTTAAAATTTAAATAGAGGACTCAGGTCATCTATTTCTTTACTATTATTATTTAAGTTTTTGATGATAATCCTATGGCTAAAATGAAAATTTGATCTCTTATTTCGCTGTCATTAATCACTTAAATTTTAGTAATAAGTGAATATTTTACGGCTAGAATTATCACTTCAAACAATGAATGAATGATATGTATTCTTTGTTGGCTAAAAATTTGGCCAAAAAGAAAAAACGAATCAATATGTGAGAAAAAAGAACTGAAATTAGAAAAGTTTTAAAAATTGCA